ATATATTAAGTAATCCAAAGTATTCAGAATACATTACAGAATACATTTTGGGGCATGTATTCTGTATTCTGTAATGGAATACATTTTAAAAGTAACCTTACTGTTGTTAGGTAAATGTGTAAAGCACCACACTACGGGACCAACAGACTAACCTTTCTTAAAGATGTGCGATTGCCCCAGTCTAACTGAGGCTTTGGAGATATTTGGCTAACAACAAACTACCATCCTCTGAACTGGCACGATAACGAAAAGTAGCCAGTCCTAGTTGTGTTTTAAGAAAAAGAAATCTTCAAGTCAGACAAGTCTTGTTGTGACTATGTGTTAAAATGTTCCCACAGATTTCTTTCTACAGTTTGTTACTCAAATAAAAGCTGAGATTTGGCAAATTAATGTGGTATCCCTTCCTGTAAAGAAAAATATCCAAAGTGCAAAAGTTAAACATGAGAGAGGCGAAATGTTTGAACTGTTATTTAATTGAAATACATGTCAGTACCATTAGGTTTTCAGTTTATTATCAACAGTACACAAACTCCATATTTAGTTTTGTACAAAGAGGTATCGGCAATATAAAAACACAGTACACATTAGTTAGACATACACGTACACGTCTTCTGAATACATTTCACCCATACTTCAAGTTTCAGGGATCTCTCTGTCTGTGTTCGGATCAACTCTCTCCTCCTCTGTCGCGCACACAGACCAGAGCTGGTATCAGTTGACCTGATGAATAACCATAGACTGGCATCAGGAGCGTCACGCTAAATGAAAAATGTTCTATCACTAATAAATATGCTTCCATATCCTGCAGGCACGCCGGTGTGGCGTCAAAAGGCAGGAGACGGAATGGAAATATAAGCTATATATATATTTATATATATTTAATTTTTTTTTACTTCCTGTTTGGCCATACCAGACGCTAAAACTGAAACACATTTAAATAATATTTCATAAACAGTATCTGTTTTAAATATTCTACTCATGCAATATCTTCAGTTGAGAAATAATTTAATAGAGCTCTTCCTTGCAGCGACAACAGGAGCATGCTGCTAACTGGTGATAGAGGTTTGAGAGACCGCTTTACTGTCTCCAACTCCGCATGTTGTTTAGCCCAAATTTTCTAAAGGAACTGAAATGATGGACCCATAAATATTCAGTAACAACTGGTACAACAGGGTGTGCAGGGTTAAATATAAAGAAAATAAGAAGAAATATGATAATAAGGGAGAGGCATGCTCTGCTTTATTTTCCCCGAGGGGCTGATAAATGATAAAT